AGCCAAATAACGAAATACAAGGTTTCTGAAATTGCCCAAAGATCGTCGAGTGAACTTGGTTTCAAAATGTTTCAAAACACTTCAATCCAAGATATATGGTCAAAGCTTAGTTTTCACATTCAAGGTTGACTTCACTTCCAGTTGACTCCATTTGCATGCAGCATAACAGCTTTGTGCCGCTTCACCATGTTTGGTAAAAATCATCAGGGTGAGAAAATTGAATGTATTTATTTATTTTTGTTGTTGTTGCTGCTGTCAAATGTCAAAGCGAGTTCAATTTGAATCGAATACCGTGTCAGGGTAAAAGGTGCACGGTGGCCCATGAGGTTCCACCCCCCCCCCCCCTTCATCCAAGTACATGTCGGCTTTACAAGATACTCTGTAATGGTTGCTTAACTCTCAATTCAAATGCCCCCGAAAGTGCTTGTATAAGTCTGACATAAAAAAATTAAAAAAAAAAACAGCCTTCATATGCTCAGCATCACCTTGCAAACAAAGAACAGTTGTTGGTTGTTTTTGGTGTGGATCACACGTGAGTCTTAACCGGCGTGTGAAGTCACGCTGTGTTGTGCTGGGAAGTTTCTCTGAGAACGAGCTGACCGATTGGGATGAACTTGGTTTCAAAATGTTTCAAAACACTTCAATCCAAGATATATGGTCAAAGCTTAGTTTTCACATTCAAGGTTGACTTCACTTCCAGTTGACTCCATTTGCATGCAGCATAACAGCTTTGTGCCGCTTCACCATGTTTGGTAAAAATCATCAGGGTGAGAAAATTGAATGTATTTATTTATTTTTGTTGTTGTTGCTGCTGTCAAATGTCAAAGCGAGTTCAATTTGAATCGAATACCGTGTCAGGGTAAAAGGTGCACGGTGGCCCATGAGGTCCCCCCCCCCCCCCCTTCATCCAAGTACATGTCGGCTTTACAAGATACTCTGTAATGGTTGCTTAACTCTCAATTCAAATGCCCCCGAAAGTGCTTGTATAAGTCTGACATAAAAAAATTAAAAAAAAAAACAGCCTTCATATGCTCAGCATCACCTTGCAAACAAAGAACAGTTGTTGGTTGTTTTTGGTGTGGATCACACGTGAGTCTTAACCGGCGTGTGAAGTCACGCTGTGTTGTGCTGGGAAGTTTCTCTGAGAACGAGCTGACCGATTGGGACCGCTACAACACCCGTGGGATTCAAGCCACCCCCCTTCCCCTTCAAGCCCCCCCCCCCTTCCCATTCTACCCACCATCGCTCTTGCATTGCTGCATGTCTTCTTCTTAGAACAAAAGGTTTGGTTTTGGTCAAACCTACTTGGACTGTTTTTTGTGGGGGGGGGTTGTGCACAGATTTGCAATTTCATTTTCAGTGCAGTGTGCAAGAGAGCAATTTGGTTTCAAAACTAGTCTCGCCGTAACCCCGGAGTCTATTTGGGTGCCCCCTCTTTGCTAATTTTGGAATAACGGACAGCGTGACCTCAGGCGGTGTGTTGGACGGATGGACTTCGGCCCAAGTCTCAACACCTGCCGCTCACTAACGTGACACGTCATCAGGCCACGTTGAGGAAAAAGGTGCATTGCAAACGATTCACATTTGGGAGAAAATCTCACCTGACATCGTCACTCAATCGAAACGGAGCCTTGTCATCTTTTGTCAATTCAGACTTGTGTAAACGACCTTCTGACTGGACTTTGCTCATTGATTGACAAGCGATAGTAAAAGTTGTTTTGCATACTTCCCGCTCTACAAGTTTATAAACAACTCCCGTATCTCTGTGGTGTCTTCTTACTGATGAGAGGGGGGAGTGGCTTTTGGGAGGGGGTGGGGACGGGAAAGCCGATGAACCTCAGGAGACGACCGTCTATTTGTTTCCACCAAAACTGCCTTAGCAGCATTTCCAAGCAGAAGTGACGCCGCTCAAATTTGCCACATCATCCAGTAAATCTTATGAAACGTCATCGATGGGGTGACAAAAGTATGGTCCCCGGGCCACGCAAGGCCCGCTCCGTTCTTTGACTTTTTAAAACCACGATGGACTGTCAGACTGGTAATTGGTCCACGCCGAGTTGTGAATACACAGTCAGGAAAATGATTTCGATTTTGTTTTCTTTTTAAGAAAAAAAAAGAAGAGATGAAAACGACCAAAACCTTTCAGGTAACAACTACCAGCATCCAAACGCAATCAATTTTTGTCATCATTTTCAATTGGAGTCAACCTGAAGCACTCGCTTTCTGCCACCTGGAAGTACTCTGGTGCCTTTTGGTTACAAACCAAAAAAGGTCCAAAAGGCCAAGATTCGAACTCTGAACGTGTGAGCCAAACACGCTATCCACTAACCCGCTGCGCTTTGATGAAATATGGAATTGCTAACAAGCGTGCAGCGAGGTTCCGAAGATTTGCGACTTCCTGACTCGGTTCCCCTCCCTCCCCTCGCGTCTCCCCGCCTTCCTCTTGACATTTTGGTTACCGTGGCGACGGAGGTGTTTCCCCCCCCCCTGCATGCTGGGTACATTGTGCTCCGCTGTGGGGAATGTGGCCTGCGGTGCCGTTTCTCACCTAGCGCCCCAGCAAGCTTGCATCCAAGCTTTTTTTCAAGGCCGAAGGAAGCGGGATTACCACAAAAATCCCAAAACATGTTTGCGGTGAACATACTATGTACTTGCCTTCCCTTTTTTTTTTTTTTTTGGGTGGATTTGCTAACTGTATTTAGCTTGCCGCAGCGTCCAGTCCATGCCGTTAATGTGTCCTGTGTAAATGTGTCCTTGCGCTGTAATTCAACACCGTGGCCTACGGACACACACACACACACGCGCACGCGCACACACACACACACACACACACACACACACACACACACACATACATAACATCAAGGGGAGAACATCTCTCACTTGCACTCTTAAACCTTTGGGTGCCCTTGTTTCATAACCGTCACTCCTGTGGTCACTTGATGAAATGCTTCCACGGCTGCAACATCAAAAACAAACAGAGAATTAGGGAGGCACCTCGGTTTATAAGCGACACAACTTCACAGTTTGTTGGCACTCAACTGATTTCATGTTTCGTGTTTTTTTTTAATTTAATGTCATGCATTTAGAGCAAAACAAAAAGTCAGCAGCTAGCTATGGTGTAAGTTAACTTAGCAGGCGTTTTGCAGCTAGTGAAGAAATCTGTTTGTTGCCACTCTCAGTTGAGGTTTCCTGTCAAATTAAACAGAATGCCAAGAGAATCAAATTCACCAGCATTTCACCAGAGTCCATTAACAGAGTCCATTAACTTTGTCTCGTGAAAGTCTTCTTGCTTGTGCACAAGTGCAAAATGCTATTGGACGAGCTAACGGAACCGGCGTGGATATTGCAGTCATTCTAAACCTTGAAACAAGTTATATTTGAACGCAAACAGGAGTAGCATGCAAACAGAGCGTACAATACTCACAGTCACAGGCATATATTCTTTATCCTCTGCGACAGATGACTATCATTGCAGCCTAGTGGAGACGGTTTTCATCGTCAAATCAACATTTCCCGTTGGATGTGTGTTTGTGTTGTACTGCCCAGGACATATCACAATGGGGCAAGACGTTTTCAGATATCAGCATGGTCATGAAACAAATCAACATGATTAAAACATGATCAACTCTGAATTGGCATGCATTGTGTCGAGGCTCGAGTCATTGTGTCCAGATGACTTTTTAATAAATTTATTTTTTTTGAATGTGTTCACACTTGGCTTATTCAAGTTTAAAAAAAAAAACATTCCGCCGCCCCTCTGGATAACCAAAATGGATTTATTGCTTTTCACAACTGATCTCGTCCCATCCAAGATTGCAAATGATAAACGTGCTCAAAAAATGTCATGTGATGTCACATGACTTGGCAGCTGCTGCAACCTTGGATGGACTTAAAATAGATGGAGGCCGTATTAAAGTGTACATCGGTATCACTTGCAACTGAAGAAGTGTGTGTGTGTGTGTGTGTGTGTGTGTGTGTGTGTGTGTGTGTGTGTGTGTGTGTGTGTGTGTGTGTGTGAAAGAGAGACAAGATGCAAGATGCTGTCATGCCATGCTTGTGTTACTCGTGATGTTAAAGCCATCGTGTCATTCCCAAAGACCGTGACGGAGCATGAGGTCATCCGTCGAATCTCACCTCAGTGACTGTCCACTGTCCAGCGATTTTCATCATGGGATGTGTGGGCCAAATGAATTTTTGCTTGTGACCTTATTGGTTGGGCATGGCGGGGCTTGTATGAGCAAATATGTTGCCGTTTGACTGGATGACCAAATTGCAATTCCACATGTAAAATGTATTCTTTTGAAATGTTGAAGTGCCTTGAACGCAGATGCTCCAAGCAGACCGCAAATGCCGATTGACTTGAGTCCAGAGTTCAAAGCAAACATGGCGAAGCAGCCTTTTGCTGTTAGGCTGCACGCAAATGGAATAAGCTGCCGACAGAAGTGAAGTCAGCTCCGAGTGTAAATGCTTTTAAATCCGGGTTAAAAAGTTTTCCCTTATACATTTGATGGTCTTCTAATACATTTCACAGTTGGTCTTTTTTGTCGTTTTTGAAACCGAGTAATGGGTGATGCACTCGTATCTGTAAGATCATATTTTGTATTAAGTATTTCCTCCTCGATGAGCCACATTTAAAAGCCGGGGGACCTTCGCTAAAAATGACCAAAAGATTCGACTTTGTCGACAAGTTGTTGGCTTCTCTGACTCCTCGCACCAACGATGGGCTGCGGCCATCAGGAGGAAAAATAAATAAATCAAGTGAAATATAGCTATACTTATATATAAATATAAAAATCTGCTCAAGTTCAGTAAGCAAGTGTTTATACTTCATTACATCCCGCCACTGTTATTTTGAGATGGGTGACTGAACCTTACAGAGGCGGAATCATGAGCAGTCAGAAAGCCGGGGTGGGCGGGGCATAAGTAGGCTGGACCGCTCCAGTATCAAATATGGAGAGCGAGAGAGGAAGGGGGCGGGCTGACATGTGATAAAAGCCAGAGTTGGAGCTGAGGGCTGCAAGATTTCAGCACGGAAGGAAAAACGAGCAGGAGCATCAGAGCCACTCAAGACTGACTTGTGTTGCTCTTCTGTGTGCTGCACTTTCAAGACTTTTTCAAAGCGGATTGCTTGCTTGCTTTTTCTGGTTCTGAGGAAAAAGAACCCAGAAGAAAATCCAAAGTTTGCTCTTGTCACCGATGGCTGCCGCGCGTCCCATGACGGCGGAGGCGTCCGGCTTCCACGTCCTCTCGGCCCACCTGATGGCCTCGGCCATGGAGGAGTTCCCGCAACAGCTGCCCGTCCCCAAGGGCCCGTCCCGGGGCAAGAGCCGCTCCCGGCGACCCCGCGAGGCCCGCTTCAAAACCCAGCCGGTCACCTTCGCCGAAATCGCCGAGGTGGTGGAGGAAGAGGGCTCGTCGCCTCTGGAAGAGGAGAGGGCGCGACGCTCCTTCCTGCAGTCCCTGGAGAACCTGAGGAGGAGCACGCAGACCCTGCACTGCTCGCCCGGCGCCCGCCGTCAATGCGCCCCGTCGCCCACGCAGGCCAGCATGGACTCCAGCGACTCTGACTCCACCCAGTGAAGGTTTCGGGGAGTCAACAAACCCCCGCGTGGTCCTTCTCGATGGAGTGCGGTTGAAGTGAACCAAACTGCGGCAACGTCTGCTTTTAAGATCCACTAACATATCGATGCGAGGCACATGCCGTGCCGATGCATCACGCAGCAGGTGGCGCTGTTTTTTTTTTTTTTTTTTTTTAACATGTTCAAATGTATGCTGTTTAAGTTCCTGGCAACGTGGCGAGAATTTAGTTTAGCTTGCATCAGTGTGGCTCATCAGTGCAGGATGTGGGCGCCCTCTTGTGGTTGCCTAAAGAATCACTGAATGAAAGTGGAGCATGTTACAGTGACTTCAATTTTTTTTTTTTAATCCAAAATTGTTTAAGTACAGTTCTGTTGTCTCTAACAATACATTTGGATTTAACCAACCCTTTTTGGGTACTAATCAAGTGCCATAGAGTCGTGTACAAAGAAACCTAAATAGCATACTTCCAACAAAGACAGTATAAGCTTTGCTTTATGCTTTCAAATATATTCCTTTTTTACTGTAGACTTGAAAGATGGTACATTGAGCTTTTTTTTTTTTTTTTTTTTTTTAAGGCTCACCGTTGATTTTTTTTTCTCTTCTCTACTGCTAGAAGAACAAAAATCAACAGCTCACAGCCACGCCACTAATTTTGTAAATAGCACGATGAAGTGACACTGTGGCCTGGTTCGCCACTGAAGCTTTCTATTGAGTTCACGCTCTTCACCAGAACGTATGAAGAAAAAGATTCCTTCGTAAAAAGAAAAAAAGTATTTATTCTATTCATTTGCTTATAACCAAATGTGGACTTTGACTGCGCTTCTGACTTGTGAAGTCGCCTCGACTTTCAAAGAAAACCGCAAACCTTTCCACTGTGCTTTGTATCGAATGTACTTTATATTAAATACCGTGTTTGTCATAAGTATTTTAATAAATATTTTCAAGTATTTTCAGGTATCGGACTTGTTTCTTGAATGATGGGGGTTCCAAGTGTGGGGGACAAAAACCCTCTCGCAACCTTTATTGAGTGAATCACATATTTTTACATCACAAAATTGAGCATTTCATTATTCTGCTTGTCACTATACATCGCTGACATAGATAGTGAACAAAAATGATCAAACTGACCTACTGATTATGCTCTTCACTGTCAATGGTACGCCACGATAAATGGGACATTGCTCCCTGACTCTGACACAAATAAATGAAAAATATGTCTGGCCCAGTTTAACGTGTACAACTGCTACGATGATGTCGACTAGTCGATAAATGCGTATGTCTCGTTCCGAAATCGGACGTTTTCTGTCTCACACACAGCGCTTCACCATGAAACTCCAAATAATCCATGCACAAAACACGGAAACATGCACTTGTTATTGTAGTTGGGTGTCTCGAGACAAAATGTAACTGTAGCAAGAGAGAAAGTCATTCCTAAGTACGGTTTTACTTCAAATAAATAGCACCCTCTAAAATGACTTTGTTTTCCTCTTGTCCTCTATGACCAATTCATCTGCCAGGCAAAATGTGTTCAATCAGCTTTGTTTGTTGATATTTTGCTGACATCTCCTTGTTATTCTTAAAACGTTGTTTTGTTGCAGATGCAATATAAATCGTAGTAACGAACATAAAAACATAACACAAACATTTTAGCCATCTACAGGTAGAAGGGAAAAAAGTGAGGTCCTTGATGCAGTTCTGACCAAGGACAGACCAAAAGTTAGTCCACTGAACTATTTTTTTTCTCTTTATTTTACCAGTATGTTTGTTTTTGACTTGTTAGCATAACAGCTAACTCCTGACACACACCCAGGAGGAAGTTGTCAAACAGAGCAGTGAAAGTTCATGTGCCTACAGTACACGAGCAAGGTTGTCGTTATCGTCAACTGCCGCGCGATGCGTCTGTCAACGTCGAGCTCGTTGACCGGCGGTGCCTCAGCCAAGACTGCTGACGCACCGGCCGTCATTTCGGGAAGTGGCGCAAGGAGCGGACCGCTTACAGACGACACTACGTTTTGTCGATAAGGTTAGGGGTTAGAGTTAGGGTTAGTGGTTAGATTTAGGGGTTAGGGTTGGGGGTCACGCTAGGTTGTGTTACGCTATATGTTGTGTTGTGCTCTATTGTGTTATAGTACACTGTGTGACTTTATGTTGTGTTACCTCATGTTGTGTTCCCTTGTATTATAACATTACGTTGTGTTACATCTTTATTACTGACGCTCCTGACGCTTCAGAGGACAAGCGAACACATGGCCTCTTCTTTCCTCGTTCAGATTAAGGATGGAAATTGCGAACCTATTTTGTCAGTGTACTCATGAGAAGTATATTTGAAATGTGACTTGTTATGATGAAGTCTCAACGTACGTCTGAACCTCTTTTTGAAACTTGCTCCCATGGCCTCATTACAGCACAAAGTAAGCAAAAAACAGGAAGGAAGTGCGTTCCATGTCTTGTTTTGTTAGCCGATGTCATGTTTGTACGAAGGACATTCTGCTCCAGCCAGGAATTTATTTTTGGTCCATCATCATAACAGACGTCACTTGCCTGTTCATTTTCATCCCATGACTGAGTTTGACGCATCATGTAAAGAATAATATCCCTGTGTGCAAGGTTTGCTTTGAAAGGAGATGCTTAGTGATTCTACTTGCCGAGTGGAGAACAAAAAGGTGACACACTTACTTCCCAATTGCATTTTAATGACGGCTTCATTCATAGTCGTTTGCTTGTCTGATGAGTGACCATTAGGATGTGCATAAAGGCTCGATATCAACCCGATGTAGCCACCTACGCAAGATTTTATATGCCGACAAACACCTGGAAAACAAATCATATGTGGTGTTGGTAAAAACTGCTAAATTGCTCACCCAATTTATATGCCTCACAAATTTAAAACAAATCAGACATACAATATGAATTCCCTACCCACAAAATCAAGACCCTTTAAAGAAGTAATAATGATTATAATAGTAATAATAACAGAGTTATGAATATGAAAATCAATATCAACTTATAACAATAAAAAAACACAATAACTACATACATTGCTGCATTTACACTTTCTAGTAACTACACTAGTCTATGGTATACAGTAAATGTAAAAAAACACAAATGAATAATTAGGATGAAAAATAATTCAACAGTTTTTGTCACACTTTCTCATTCAGTTTATTGCACATTGTGCTGCTCATTGTGGTGTGCGTTCTTTGGCCACCTGGGGGCAGTATAACGGCCAGTTTATACTTTTGCACTTGTTTCCCTGCCTAGATGCAGCAGAGTCGTCTTCTTAGAGGATAAAGAATACAGTCACTCTATATGTGACTGGAAGAACTGTTTTACTGTTGACCAACGTAACAAATAAAAATAACAATGAAAATGCTTTTAAAATATAAAAACTAACTGAAAAGACATGTTACATTTAAAAATAAACTAAAACTAACTACAGCATAGCAAAACCGGCTCAGCAGACTCTGCTCACTGTTATCAACTCAGCAGGAAAACGCCGCTCTGGGTCATGAATATTTTCTGTCATGTTTACGTCCAGATACAAACATACAGTGACTGCGTGTGTTGTGTTGTTGCTGCCTTGAAAGCATCTCTGACCTACATCCTGTTGCCATGTTTTCAGGGGAAAGCCTGGTGAGAATCAGCAAGCTGAGACAAACATTGGACGCGCTCGTCCTTCGACCACTCGCTGATGTCTCTTCTTTCCTCAGCTTTTCATCCGCCCCTGCTGCTGAAGGAAAAAAAATAATTAGGATGAAAATCGGTGGTTGATCCAAGTGCTTGGGATGCTCTGACTTCTTCTCGTGTGGCTTTTTCAGAAATAGGCTGATAAAAGATTTACTTGGTTGCTCAAGTTCACACTTGATGAGTGGTAAGCACTCCCGAGACACAACTCTTTGTTTACAAGCCATTAGAATTACAATGCGCCATTTTTTGGCACCTTGCGCTGTTGCGTCTGTTTGTTTTGAGGAAAGAGTGTCATGGTGCTTTCGGGGAAGGTGGGAAGTTGGGCTTCTCCGACTTGCGACTAGAAAAAGTGCACTACAACATCAGCAACATCGATTGTGTTGACAGAAAGGAAACCCACAACATATAGGCTATCATGGATTTTTCTTAATGGTATTAATCATTTTGAGCGTAGTCTGTAATGTTACGTCATAGCGTTCAGGATTTAAAAGTTAAAAACGGGGAGGTACCGTTTGCTAGTCATTTGGCCCCGCAGCGTCATGAAACGTGACGAACGGTAGATGCAACCAATTAGATTTTGGAAGTTGGCATCTGGCGAATCGCGACATAGTAACCTCCCAAAGTTTGGGCCAATGAGTTTGTTGTTGTTAACAGATCTGTCCAATCACCGTCGAGGAGGCGGTTTCTCGTTCAAGGAGCGCGAACGGTTAAGAATCTCCGAGGACGACAAAATGGCGAACATCGAGTGACTTTGACTGAAAAGTTTTACTTCAAGTGTTTTTTCGGACCAGGAATATAAACGAAAGGTTATTAATATCTCCGAACTTTGTTGTTTATTTGTAACGACGATAAAGGTGGAACATGTGAACTCGTAACGGAAGAAAATAAGTATCGTTATGTCAAAGTGAGTCGCGCTCAAGAAGATGCTAGCCGGCTAGCATGAAATGTCAACATTAGTTTATATAAAAATGTCTTTGACATAAAATGGCGGACGATGGATGGATGAAGTTGAGCGGTGACGGCTTGCAGGGTACACTTGATGTAATGGCGTGTCGTCGAAGATAATAGCCAGTCGCTGCTTGACAGAATGGCTTTACACAACCTAGCTTTTGTCGTCGACGTGGATTCCGGAGATCAACAATCAAGCGATCGGCTACAAGTCAGGAATCATCAATTGAAACGTGGCATTTTGCACATCTTGCTGCACTTCGGCTACAAGTATGGCTTCGACAAAGTACGCTGGGGTTACAAATTCTTCCAATCCGCGACTGGCCCAGGTGCCAGCCTGATAGCAAGGGGCTCGGACTTCAAGGAGCTTCGCCACAAAACATTTGAGGACTTCAGCGTGGAATTCGATGCCAAGTTTGACGGGAGAGAGAAACAATGCGCGTCCCAGCAGAATTGCAGCCAATCTGCCTCTGTGCAAAACGCCCTGAAAGAAATCCTGCTCGACTTCCAATGGGACCGACCAGACCTCACCTCTCCCACCAAACTGTCCCTGAGGCCCAGGAAGACGAGGCGAGCTGCACCTTTACCAGAGGAGGACCTTCTTATAAATCAGGCGAAAAACGCGGTGTTTATTGTGGCAGACTGTCCACAAAGCTGGACACAACTGGTGGACTACCTCAGCTTGACGAACCTTGACACGAGTGCGGAGGTGTCAGAGCACATTCTATCCAAAAGTATCCAGGACATGCTGGTTCAGAGGCAGGTTGTCCTGCACTGGGTGGACAGTACATCGCATGGGAATGTAAGTAACCAGCTTAGAGTGCATATAGAATAGGGTGTGCAAACTTTTTCTTCCAATGGTCTTATCCAGAAAAAATAAAGTATGTTTGAGCATCAGCTTCCCACAAGATAGACTTAAGTTCACCCGTGACCCTTGTGACAAGTACTATCGGAAATCCATATATCCTCATTCGATTGTGATTGACTGCTTGCCAGTTGAAGCCTCTGGGCCGAAGCTGCTTCTTGTGATCCAGTCAACAATGTCATTGTCATTTCTTCTTTACAGGAGGTGCAATGTGGGGACCACTTGGGCTTTGACAACTTAGCCCAGGCCTTGGCACAAGTACGTGGCAAAGTGCTCCCCGCAGTTGCACTCCTGAACCGCCGCTGGACTGGGAAGACACACTCCAACGTCGGGAATGACAGTTTCCCTTTCCGGTCCAGTCTTGCATATTTGCTGTCTTCCGAAAGGCAGTACCGCCTTGCTTTTCCTGTCACGGAGGGCACTCTAAAACTGGACACAGGTAAATGAGATTTATGACCGTCACTCTAATTGAGGAATATTGTCATTGTTAAATGCGGTGGGGATAGAATGCCAATTTATGCAAACCACATTGGCACACAGTAGATTGCAGACCTCTACTTTGGCCAACGAGAAGCCCAAACAACATTCCATAATTTGGTATGGCATCAATTGTACACTTTAATTGAAAGCCATTCCCTTCATAAATTTAACATGAAAGACTTACAAAATACATTTCACTTGACTAGACCTTGCCTAATATAAGGAAGAAACTGTCTGGATATACTTCCAGAGCTTGTGTGTATGACAGCGCAGTGGTGTCGCTGCTCTACCGAGACACGGGGGAGATGAATTGCAGTGTGCAAGTTTAAAAAAAAAAAAAAAAAGCACTGACAAGATGAGTGGTTCCATTCCACGTGTTTCTGCGCCCCCTTTTCAGGTGACGTTGCCCACAGCTGTGCTGTCAATCTAGAACCGGTGTCCCGCAGACAGGCACCTCTCGCCGAGGGCGTGGAAGTGTGTCTGAAGGGTGTGCTGCAGGGCTGGGATGCTTCGTCACTGTCGCACGCCTCCGCAGAGTCATGGCTGCTTCGGTGCTCCAACACCAGCGAGCAAGGTGCTGCTTCCTTCCAGCGCGCACTCGTGGAGTTGTCGACTCGTTCGCTGCACATGGTGAGTGGTCACATTGCTTGATTAACACAAATCGAAAACAATAGAGACTAAATTGTGTGTCCACGCTAACGGTCGCCCGTGCAAAATCAAGTTTGAGGTGATGGAATAGGTAGCTTTTGTGGAGGAGGCAAACCAACATTTTGGTGAATTACAAATTAAATAAAAAGAAAAGCATCTCTCTGATCCAGAATGTGTGAGGATTGGATGTGTCTTCCCATCCTGCCTGACACTGTTTAACAGTTGCTAAGGCACATCTAAACATTTGCTCTGTTAGCACCGATTGCCACATTTCGAATCTACTAAAACGACTCGCAGGTAAAGAAATGCAAAGTTGAAAAGAGTTTTTCCTTCCGCCTTATGGCATGACTCCTTCTTGTGACTGACTGCCAAACCTCAAGTAAACAAGGTGCCCCTCACCCCCAGTTTGCTGAGGTGTGCCACAGCGGCCAGTCGTCCTCAGCCGTCCTCTCCCCTTGGTCCAACTTTACCGCTCTGCTCACCGTCCTCCGACCCGCCGACACTCAGTGTCATCGCCTTGGCAACATCGACATCATTTCCAACAGCGGCACAGATGAAATCTCAGCTGACCTTCCGGAAGTTGTCAACAGTGTGCTGGGCATCGTCTATGAAATGATGGAGCAAGACAGTGACAGCACCGATGGTAAGGATTGGACACTTTATTCTCTTGCTGACAGATTTTTGAGCAGCCTGTCGGGCTGAAATGCGCCGCATGCTACATAGAGATTGAATGTATTCAAAACGCGCTTTCACATTTCCCCATTTGTGTTCTCCCTCAGAGCAGCCAGCTGTTCCCTACGTGGTTCCCGAGTGGGCCCGGCAGGAACTCGGTCATTGCTCACCCAGAGTCGGTTTGTGTGAGACTTGGTTTCCGCATTCAGATCACTCCGGAGTGACTTCCCATCTGATGGAGTCTTTCAGGTAAAGAGAACAAGAGCACAAGTTCACTGCATTCAAAGTTCCGACTCAGCCTAACGTTACAGCGGCTTGAACTTTTTGCTGCATAACTTCCACTCTTTGTCAGGTTGCTTCATGCAGCTCCTGACCAAAGAGAGGAAGAGGAGCTTCTCTTCCAGACAGAGCTGATCAGTGATCTGGCAGATCTGTATCAGTCATCAAAGGGTACCGAGAACAAAAGGGGCAAGAAACGTAAGATTCGTTTGCGCGATTGATTCGGCTCACGTGTAAACACGGCGAAATGTGACATGTCTTTTTATTTGTATTTTTCTGTCTCCGCAGGAGGCTCACAGCGCACTCCGATGAAGCAGAAGATGAAGAGCATGAGCCGCTCGTTGCAGATGCTCAACGTGGCGCGGCTCAACGCAAAGGCCCAGAAGTGGCGGGCTGACGAAGAGCCGGCCGCGCCGGAGGGAAAAGGGGCAGAGAGACCGGCCAAGAGACGCCCGAGCGACAAGAACAAAGCCGAAAGAGTCGACATCATCCGTAAGTATCCCTGTCAAGACAAAACACCGTCACCGTCCAAGTCTCCCGTTCTTTCTGTCGTTTGGACTAAAGCGGTGCCTCGCAAACATTTTACACCAAGTGCCACCAAAAAAAGAAAGAAAAAGTACTGGGCTCTCCAAGTCCTGCCATTATGACCACCATTAAAATACAGACGCGAAATGGGCTGAAACATTATTTCTAAAAGTATATTTCACGTTATTCTACGCCCCTGTAACATTCAGCAGAGTTTGAACATTAACACCCTGTTCAAATATACTGCACTGTCGGAAAATAAAATCAGTCCTTATTCATGATATTTATTTTGTTTTGTGGTGATAAGCCCCAGGTTATCGACAACTCCTAAAAATTTTTAAATTGTCTGTGGATGCCACAAGGTGGCAGCAAAGTACTGCATAGAGTCAATCCACTCACTTAACATAGTTGCTTGGCACCAAGATGTTTAACTGGCTTTTTGGACTGAGCACAAAACGAAAAAGTGAAGACGTTTAAAATGTAGGTTATCATTTTTAAGGCCTCATAGCCCAGCCCTAGTTGAGGCATTCTTTAGGATCGTGCAAGGCAAAGGCAAAACATTTGCACTATGCAACTGATGTCATGTGTTGAATTCCCTCGTCAGTCTTTACCAGTCAAGCCGAGCTGCTGTCCCACGTGCGGTCCGTCTATGAGAAGAGCAATGCAGAGAGAGCCTCATCTGTCCCGGATGCTGCTCAGCAGATCTTGGCTGCTGTCAAAAGTTTCCTCGTGGCAAAATCCCAACTGCAGGTAAGAGGTATTTTTATTTCTTGCACACCGTTTTGACAACGGTTGTGAGCGACGTGTCTCTTCGGTTACTCTCGCCTAATTAATTTTCTCGTGCAGGTCAACGCCGTTCCGTTTTGCCAGCAGCACCTTTTGAAGAGCAGCGGATCCATCAGGCAGACCTACGGCTCTGATGCCGATGTGGAGAGCAAAGTGCGAGAGTGAGTTTGTGTGTGGATTTGTCCACTCAAGCAAGTGAACCCAAGTGGCCGTCTGCAGCAGTCCTGAAGTTGAGAAAAATCCAGAAAAGGTTCATCCTCAAATGGCTGTAATGCATATTGTCCCCACTAGGTGTCAGCTCCAGGCGCTGCTCAGGTTGGAGTTATGCAAACTTTTCTCCCCGGAGGAGGTTGATGGGCTGGATGCTGAACAGATGGCAGAGGAGGTAGACGGAATCCATCACATAAACGTGTAGCTGTGACTTCAAAGATTCACAGCTAGGCCCTTTTTTTTTCCCCCTCCCTCAAATAAAGTCATGGCTACCATACTGAAAATAAGCCAATATTCTTTTCTCGTCAATATCCCTCAATCCATTATTCATACCGAACCTGTTTGTTCCTCAGGTGGCTGAAATGCTCCGAATTATATCCTTAACAAAAGACCCAGCATGCCTCGCAAGGTTCCTTCAGGATGAAGTCCTCCCAGCGTAAGTGTTTCAAGAATCTCGTGATTGTCTTTCCCCCCCTCAAAGGATTGTGACGTCCACTAGTTGGCTTAACCCGTCGATGCCGTTTTGCGTTGCGGGCGAGTATTAAGTGCTTTGATGAAGTACTTGATGAATGCAATCATTTTTTTTTTTTTTTTTACAGAAGTCTGTTATTGCAGGTTCTTGACAGCCATCCCGAGGGTCCTTGCCGACATTTACCACAGTCTGGGCACGCAGCTTCCCGAGGCCTTGCTGGCCGTCCTTCCCGCGGACTTCTTCAGCGACGAGTCGCTCGCCAAGGACAGCGTTTCTCCGTCGGCCTCCTCGCCCTGCCCCTCTGCACATGACTCGCTTTCCAACTGTAGCGATCGCCTGCAGGATCTGCGTCATCGCTCTGCTAACAAGAGGAGGTGAGAGGAGGGTCCCCATGGAGTGTCTTTTTTTTCTTTCTTGTTCTTTCCGATGCTAAAATAGCCACACTGTAAAAACTACAAATAAGGTGTCTGTAGCGGGGAGGCCTTTGACCCATTCAATACATTTTAGGAATATTTTCCTTCCAACATCAGTTATCTTCGCCAACAGAACAGATGTTTTACATACCGTAAGATTTGAACCACTGTGGTATTTATTTACTTTAAGGAACGGGATGCTGACTCGTCATCGCAGTCTGACCGAATCCTCACAGAGTCTACGCCAGATAGAGATGCCGAAAAAGACAACACGGGCTGTAAGACCAACCCAGATGATTAGTCATCAATGACCGCGAGCTCATTTGTGTTGTAATCAAATGTTCATGTGTCAAATCTACTCAGACGGGGTTTCTTTTTACTCTGTCTTCAGTCGCCTCCCTTTTATTCTGTTTTTCTTTTATCAGTCCAGATCAAAAGTCTGTACAGCTCCGGAGAAACCAGTCACAGTACCGCAACCCCAAAAGCAACAAACCCATGGTACGATTTGCCTTCCAATTTGGAGAGACGAGTGTCTTCCTGTCTTAGAATTCTTCGCCAAAGTTTGTATTCTAAACAAGGGCAGTTGTTCCATTGCTCAAAGTGCAGCCTGTTTCTGATTTGTCTCAGAGGTTACCAAAGTAAGAAGAAACCTGTTCAGCCCAGAGGCTGTGTCTCCGTCCAAGAAGAGCAAACTTTCTCGCAGCCAGTCTGTCTCCGTGGTGGAAGGCCCGAAACGCAAGCGATCGCACAAGTCTGAGGGTAAAACTCGTAAGCAAAATGCAACGGACTTTGCGCAATAACCAAATCAATATTATCGTTGCTCCTTCTTCAGAGAGGCACAGACTCATCACAAACAAAGTATGTGAGACGCCCCACCACAAGCAGGTGTCAAATCGGCTCCTTTACCGACAAAAAATGGGGCGGTACGTGTCAGTCAACAGTTGATCGGTTGCCAAGTTAGTCTACTACATTCATTCTCATTTTCTTTTCGTCGTGTCCATAGAAGCTCCGTCCTAAATGAGGATTGTATTGTGGAAGAGTCGCCGCTCAAACCCGCCGAAGGTACGAATTGAAGCATTTGTACTTCGTCGCTATTGCGTTGAAATCGACACTTTGACTGTTCCCGTTTTTGCCAGAGGTCAGAAGGAGCCCGAGGATAAAGGAGTTTTCCAGGAGACACTCCAACACTTTTTATTCGAGTTCCCAACGGCGGTCCCGCAACCTGGAGAGGGCGCTCTCCGCCTCCCGGCTTCCGCTCAGCGAAGGCAGGACCGGTGATGATGTGAACGTTGAAAAAGTTCGCTCTCCCATGAGGCTTCTCTTCAGCGCCGCCCAGTCTCCCGCTCGTCCTTCCACTTCGACGGGCTCGACGCGGAGCAGTGGGACTCGGCTGTCTGCAGACTCCAGTGTCTTTGAGGTAAATATCTCCGATTAGCTCATCCCTCCCAAAAACTCATTCGACCCGAGGTACCACTGACAGGCAAAATGCTTTGGCGACACTCTGAATTCTAACGCTGTACACCAATGTCTAGAGTCCCAGCAAGACACCGGAAAAGACCCCCAAAAGATGCGGAGGAGCCAATTTTGGCAGCACAACTCCGAGAACACCGGCAACCCCCAAAACTGCGCCTTCTACCAGGCCGAGGGCTCTCCCTGCCGCGGAGAGCCCCGTCGGACAACTTGGTATGGCCCTTCGGGGCAGTCCTTTCAGATCTCCCGCCAGAAAGACTTTGGTGGTGGAGACGCACGACCAGCAAAGTCTCCTGACGAGCCCACTGAAGGGAATTCTCAGGACTCCCGTCAAGTCTTATGAAGCTGCCGCTTTTTCCTTCGCATTACATTCAGCTTCCGGGACTCCCAAAAAGATGGTCTCTTGGTCTCCGTCGCCACGGAAGAAATGTAGCGCTCCGGACGATGCCATCACTGTGAAGACGCCCGAATCGGCTTGCGTTGCGTCTCGTCGTTCACCCAGATTCTTGAAGACTCCGAACCGGTTCAGCAGCCCGCCGAAAAGCCCCGGCGACAAGGCGGAGACTTTCAAGACCCCCGACAAGTCGTGTCAAACATCGCATACCTTTCCCTGTCAGGTGAGCCGACGAAGGATGTCGCCAGATACAACAAGTGAAAGGAGACCAGAGGCGGTGCCGTTCCAGTTTTCACCACCACAAGTACACAATGCCTTACCTGAAGCCACCACGAGACCTCACGCCAGGATGCCCAGCCCTGTTCAACCGATGGCCACTCGGTCCAGACGAACATCTGCTTCAAGTCCCAAAATTGGTTCCCCCTGGAAACAAGCTTTGGCAGCTTCAGTGGACCATACGGTTGCGTCTCCAGAAACGTCACGGGCAAACACAGTTGCTCGAATCACCCATCCGAAGTCAAGATCCCGGAGGGAGGACGGCGTTACTCTCGTGCCAAATAAAGAAGCTGCTTTCATTCTGGAAAGCACCATGCAATTAACAGAAGAGACAAAGGCCCAAAGTGTTGAATCATCTGCGATTGAGATGAGTTCTCAATCGGATTCACAGCTGTTGGACTCTTCACAACTCAACCCCACCACAGATGACAGTCATGACATTGTGGACGCGTCGGTGGTCAAGACGCAGTTTAGCGGAGGCCTCAAGATGAATATTTCCTTTTCCCGCAAGCCTTCAAAATCCACCGAAGACGTTTTGACTGAGGCCACATCCCCCAAGGACCCAGTTCAGGCCCAAGGTACGCCCGGTTGCAGCTACGGCTTCCGACAGACGCCCGACCGCCAGCAGCGTGAGGCGGCCGCACGTTTGGGCTACACCAGTGAATTCCCAAGGTTCTCAACCCCCCGAGGCCCACCCCGGCATCGGCAGCAACAAGGTACGCCTTCGCCAAAATCCACTTCCTATCAAGTTGAAATGGAAATGCAAACGTCCGGGCTTCCCAAACTCAAATTCAAACGTACGGACTCCATGAATGTCAACGAAGTTCTCACCGAGAACGCTCCTCACCTGGGAGCTCAGAGTCCTTTAGTCGCTGTGAGGCCATCTCAGCTGGACAACCCGTTGGCGTCGGTCCCCAAGCATCGAGATCCCGGTTACGTCTCGCCGTCCGTCTGTAGCCACGCCACGCCCGCAAAAGGCGGAGTGGTTCAGACCCACATCTGCCAGTCCTACACGCCCACACGCCACCCCGCAGGGACCACGTCGCCCAGGGCCATTGCGGACATATTCTCCCTGTCGCCTTCCCCGCAGAGTGTCGGGAAATTGACCCCGGACCACCTGAACAGGTGGCCCCGGAGGAAAAGAGCCCACATGGGTGCGGTCGGAGGCAAAGACCGCTCCCGGAAGGGCGATCTGACAGACGAGGTGGAACTGGGAGTGAGCAGGTTGTCGGACGCGGAGGACCCCGAGGACTTCGGCGGTAAAGCGACGGGTGGAGTTTTGGCGTGGAAACAAGCGCGCTTGCCTGTTGGGGACGCCTCCCCTCGACAGCCCGAGGACAGCTGGATGGCACCTGAGCCTCACCGAGATGAAGAAGAAATGATGTGGACTGCCGTCGGTGGAGACGTCCCGTCCAGTAAGTCGATGATGAACCCTCGCATAATCATTAACAACTCCACACTTTCATTGGCTTGCACCCACTTCACTCAGGCCCCGCCTCTCTAAGACATACACACTCAACACCCCCCCCGCTTGATGCCCGAAGACGGCTTGGATAAGCCTTGTGTATAGGTCAAATTTAAAAACAAGAAATGCAGATTTTGCAAAAACTTGATGTGCTCGGACAAAAAGTGATGAAGATTTTCAAAGTGGTGTCAAAAATACAATTTGGCATATTTGAAGCCATGTGTGATGAAAATTTGCTGTTCACATGATAATCTGTAAAATACGGGATTCTGGCAAGGCAGGAGAAGAGAAGTAGTTGGTATGTAAGTTTTCCATTTTGTTTTTCTAGATTTGCAAAGAAACAATTTCCAACTTGTGAAACAAGTTCATGGTGAAGAATCAGTGGCTCTTGCATTTTCCTGTAGGTGGCCCTTTGAAGAAAACGTGCACACTCCCGCCATCTTCTGGCAGCCACGGGCAAATACAAACATTTTCTGGGGATTTGGTAGCTGGGTCCCTAGCCTTTGCAAATGCCCGGGCTTCACTGTGTGGCATCCATCATGTCCGTGGAATCATCAAACAAGAGAAATGCTAAGCGACTGTTGTTTTGTTTCATCAGTAGCCACACCTCCAGGCTCAGTGGTGAGGAAGCCGGTCACAGCCGGTGGGATTTTGGCCCTCACTCAGTCTCCCTTGCTCTTCAAGGAAAAGCCCGCTTCCGCAAGCAGGGGAACGCCTCGCTTGAAAGGTAAGAGCTGCTACGTTGTACGCAAAGCGTCAAGCGGCAGGCTTGCGTCTTGACGTGAACACGCTGCTACCTGCGCTTGAGCCGAAAGGAACATAGTTCACATTGGAACTGCGTTGCACAACAATCATCGGCCGATTTTTTTCGACAGAAAACTGTCGCTTCCGAACGCGCTTCGGTGCAGTACTTAACAGAATAAAAGCAGGCTCGAACGCAAAGAGCAAAGGTGTCACTGCATCACAATGCGCGACACAAGTCCGCAGAATTTGCGGGAAGTTGGTGAAAATGTAAACCCCGAGCTTCACTATTTCCTCCATTAGTACATATGTAACCGGAAATATGGTGAAGTATTGTTGTAAAGCACAGTACGTGAGTCCTATATATACTGTGCTTTTGTCTTGGCGGGGTGGGGGGCTGAATGTCTCTCACTTAAACCTCTTAGGGCAAATAGTTGAGGATTTTTTTGGGGTGGCCACCACTACACCATCAGCAGTATATCTCCACATTCAGAACCAAAAAGAAAAATAACAAACTGTAGGTTTTTTTTGTTTGTTTGTTTGTTTTTTGTCATGTTGCGGGCCGCTGAAAAAACGGATGACAGGCCACAAGTGGCCCTGGGGCCACAGTTTGGACACCACTGGTATAACCAGTGGCCTAGACTCGCCACTCGTGAAATTTTCTGACAGAACCCGGCACACTGCGAAGTGTGCGCTGCAACTTGGCGGCCTGCCCATGCGATTTTTTTTATTTTATTTTTTAAAGTAGCCAACACAAAGGTTGTGCTTGTTGCCATTGTGCTTTTCTCCTCCACTCGACGACCGGACTTGAATGTTGTCTGTGTCGGATGTTGCAGACGAATTCACAGTCGAAAGGAGGATGGAAGCAGACGCGGGCGTCTCGGCCTTCAGCCAGCCCACCCGACGCTCGGGCAGCAGGAAGAGGCTCCTTCGCTGATGCGGCCCGCAGGTCAAACTCGTCACACTTCTCCCTTTGTCCATTCGAGGATTTTTCAAGCCAACACTACAACGTGCTATGAATGAATGGCCCTTTTCTCCACCTTTTAGTTTTCTTCGGAACCTTTTTATATATTTATGTATAAATGTATTCATGGACCAATTGGGTTCATTTTTCAAAGGTGTGTCGTTGCTGGAGCAAGTTCAAAATCTGGAAACAATTTTACTCAACCTCATTTTGTCTCAGTGTGTCGTATACGTGTTTATTTATTTATTGCTGCTGTTTTTGTTTTGTTTTTTTTCAAATGACAAAGCAGATTTTAAGTCAAAGGGAATGATTGAAGCGTTTATGGTCATGTAAATATTCTACATTCTTGTAAATAAATGCGAGTTTTCACAACCCGTTTGCTGAGAATATTTGTCTTATCGGCTTGTCAAATGCGCATCTCGTTATCTTGTGTCCTATTTTTCACCAGACATGATTCAGTACATACCGTAAAATGACAGATGTAGCAAAATACATTGCTTGTTTCCCCACCACCACCTCCACCAGGAAGAGAAGTTTCAGTGAAGTTACGCAACACTGCATTTTAAAATCCGAGCCCTAATCACAGACTTTGGTCTGGGTACAGATTCCTTGGATCGTTTGTGTACATTCAAGTTTTTTTGTTTTGTTTTAACACTTGCTCTGTGTAACCGTCTCTTGCCAGTGATTTAGTCTCATGTAGTGCTTGCAACTAATCACGCCCACGTAGTCGTGTTCTCTCCCCGTAGAAGTACAAAGTTGAACCTTGATCCCGAGCCCCGATGGCTTGATAAGGAGCTCACGTCCTGAATGGGAAGGAGTGGCCTGGCCTTATTAGCACCCTTGTGACCGGAGGCAGCACAAATCCACACATTTGATGACTGTGCTGACATGCTTGCCATGAACTCCAAATTGCTGGTTTCTTACCAATTGTTACAAGCATAATGGCGTCAATGGCAAGATCTTTTTGAAACTGCCAACACCATGTCAATTAAAAAATCAGTTTCCCAGATTCTCAATCACCCAGGATATGGTATTCTACAAAGGTTGAAATGAGGCACATTGGACTCTTCATATTTTTTCCTTCAAAGACAATCATGCTATTAGGCATGACATTGGACCCAGTTGTCCATTAATCATTATGTAAGTCATGAATGTAAGGACGTTGCAACAATGCAAATCTGGTAAGCATCTTTAAAAGGATTACTATTATTAGTAGAGGGCGCTAACGCAAATGAATATCCAGCCGATATGTTGAATTTGAAGCGTCACGCTTTACTGCAGCATGTGCAGCCGATGCCCTTCACAATTCGCACCACGTACTTCTGTTGTCAAGTTCGCGATGATCAGAAAAAAAGTTTCCGGTAGCACGACTCTTCACAATAAAACCGTTTTGACCATTCGTCACCGTAAGCCTCCGTACAAGCGACACGAATCGATTGCTTTTGATGAATTGCCGATTGATTGACGCAGAAATTCAATTATCACGTCGTACCCATTTTGTAACCCACGCGATTAAAGAAAAGGCTGTAGAGCTGTCCCTTAAGAAGGGGCATCTTCTTTTGAAAGCCCACATCCGGTCACGCTCTCGTGCCTCCACGAGCTTGACGTAATCAGTTTTTCTTCTCTCCTACTTTGCGCCGTTCCTTCACAGGCTCCATCAGTACCACATCCACCTGCCCTTTTCGTCCCTTCTCCTCCTCCTCGTCCGTCGGTGTGTTGACGACTCAACTCGAAGTTGATCGATCCCGTCAATTGGAAAGATGGCCAGCAGCTTCTCCAGGGTTCTGTCCTCCAAACGCAACGTGGGGATCCTGTCGGTGGTCGGCGGCTCTCTGACGGCCGGATTTCTACTGCACCGGCAGCACGTCAACGCAGGAGCACCCGGGCGCAGGCTCTACCCCGCCAGGTAACTGCATTGACGAGCCTCTTTCGCTCTATTAAATTAAAAAATAAATAAATAAATAACTTAGTAGGTGTTTGTTTGGGTTTTTTTTTTCATTCTTTTCCTCCCAATTCGAAGTCAGCTCATGTGTGAATACGTGAAAAGGGCGCTAAAAGGCAGGGTGTGACGTGTCCTATTTCAACTGTAATTAGCATTTCCATTTTTAATAAGGTTTTTAAATACTAAATATAAAAAAATGAAAATGAAATGTATATTTTCATTTAACAAACTCTAAATCCTTAATCGACTTCAAATGACTGGGAAAGGCTATTTTTAGCCATCCTAATTAGTCGCGGGCTAACATTAGCATACAGAGATGAAAGCCTACTGAGAGTAAAAGACATTTCTGCTGCTTGTTTTACGTGTTGAATTCGTTTGTTGTTGCTTTTTTTTTTTTTACTGTCGAAGAAATGAATTGGAAATTTTAATCCACATTTTCACCACGTTTCATGATGTTGCTACTCTTGCTCATGTTTTTGCTTTTTAGCTTTCATTAAGCTTCTGTACATCAATCCATTTCCGACCATCATTCTTGAACTCAAACTCAAGGCTTCGGGGCCAGATTCGGCCTGCTGCCTCATTTTAAGTGTCCCTCAAAGGCATCTGCACCGACTTCATGTCACTTGCTAAAATACCAAAATTGCAAATTTTCTTCACTTTTCATGACACTGAGATATGGCAAGCATTTTGCTTCACTACTTGCCCTTTTAAAATAACTAAAAAAAGATTCAATTTCTTTTTACTGGCTTCTGAGTGCAAACCGAGTTATCCATTAATTAGTTGTATATTGTATATGTGATAATATGAGTCATAAAATACATTTGTATGGGTTCACAGTCCTAATAGCCCTCAAAGGAAAACCATAGCGACGATGTGGAGCCTGACAAAAATGAGTTTGCCATTCCTGCAGTAGGCTGTAAATTGGCTTAAGTGTTAAAAAAAAAAAAACACTTTTAAGACATTGACACGTTGCATAAATCTAGTAAAATGTTAAAAAAAAGAAATTGCACAAAAATAATGATCTGATTGGGAATGTTTACTATGTCATTCATCCGGGTCATTTCATTCTCATGTCATTGAACTGATCGCAACTGGTCAAAATAAAAATTGTACCTCACTCATTGTTTCAAAACAAACGGTTCATAACAATGAAATGCCAACGTTTCAGCTAAGAAGTTCATGACAACTGAACTGTACTTAGGCAGTATCATTCTATTTATTGCAGTCTAGCTCCCTAAATATAAATGAAATCACTTCCCCTGCGTTATCACCGTGGCCTGACCTTCGGCTGGCACCGTATTGATAAATGTGCGCGCGTCCCGGGGCACGTCTGCATGCGTTACAAAGCTGCACGTAGGAAGAGATTAGGCAAGCATTATCTCTACAACTCACATCCGAGCCTTCCATGGTGCGGTCGTGATGCTCAAACCAAAAGGGGAGCAATCACAGTTTACATGTGCCTTTCGGATCGTTCATATGCCACCACATGGGCCAAGGACACCTGCTACCTGGAGACCAAAGACGTTAGGAAATCAATCGACTTAGGCAAATATCGCACAAAATCAATAAGGGCGTAAAATATGTCTGAAATTACCCTTTGAACGGGTAGAGTTGACTTTCTCTTCTCAAATGCAAATAATAAATCCATTTAGCAAGAAACATGGCGTCAATGCACTTGATTTGCCTTTTTAGTGGGCCCCATAAAATAACGCGGAGGGCCGCATCCGGTCCCCGGGGCCTTGAGTTTGACACGTGCTGTCGAGAATAAGCGTGATATGAGGTGAACGGCTGTATCAGCTCTGCTTACCCCCTCGCGGTGGCGGAGAGCCGTAAGCCGCTCATTCAAAGCTGCTTTCACATTTCTCCAGACGATCCTTGCACTGCCCGATAAAATACCCGCATCAATAATTGTCACAATGAATGAATCAATCTTCAAACCGCCATTGTATGTATCAAGAAGGAGGTCTTATTTTCTTTACTGAAGCTGCCATTCATTTAAAGCGAGGCATTTATCCGTTCAATTGGATGCTACACCACGTGATGAATTGAGGCACAGGCTCGTATATTTGAGGAAAGCAACTGCAAGTAGGTGATAGTGACCTACTTTTCGTGGAGGGAAAAGAATCGGCAGTTTACTGGGGGTGAGGCATTTATTTGATTTACGAATCTTGCGCCTGCTGATTAATTGGGTGTGCAGGCTTGCGTGAACAATTTGAGGGAATACAGTAATTGAAGCTCGGTGATGATGTGATGATAATTTACACTGGGGGTGGGGTTGGGGGGGGGCATTTACTGGAGGTGAGGTGTTTATTTGTTAATGTGGATCTTGCACTTGGTTATTAATTGAGGCGCAAAGGCCTCTCATTGAACAAATGTGTCCAATATGATTTGCTTATTTGGTTAATTGCAATGTGTATCCTGTTATTCGCGGAGGCCTCTATTTGAGGAAGTCCATACGGTAATTGAAATTTGACGCGAACGTCCAATGTTTCCTGAAGGCTGGTTAATGTGAATCTTGGATCGAGTCATAGCCTGAGGCACAAAATCCTCTATTTGAGAAAATATGAATACAAATATAGTCGCGGTATTTCATTTGGGATGAGACATTTATTCAAGTGAATGTTGCACCACGTGATGAAATGGGATGCCGGGGTCCCAATTCGAAGAAATACAAGGAAATGCCATTGTAGGTCCCATTTTCCTAAAAGTTGGAGAAAAAAAATTGCTGGAGGTTCAGCATTTAGTTGTTAATGCGCAGATTGTCCCTCCGTTTCTATTTAAGCCAAAAGGCCTTCAGTCATGGAAGTGTGCTCACTGAAAGTAGATGATAATGTCCCGTATTTCCTCAAAATGAACAGAGCCGACTACGGGAGGTGAGGTGTTTATTTTATTCAACTAAATCCTGAACCCAGTGACAAACCGAGGCTCGGGTCCCGCCGTCAAAGATAAATCCGCGGCTCCTGTCTTTTGTTTGCGCAGCGCGGAGTACCCCGACCTGCGCAAACACAACAACTGCATGGCCAGCCACCTGACGCCCGCCATCTACGCCAAGCTGTGCGATAAGGCCACGCCCAGCGGCTACACGCTGGACCAGGCCATCCAGACGGGCGTGGACAACCCCGGGCACCCCTTCATCAAGACGGTCGGCATGGTGGCCGGAGACGAGGAGTCCTACCAGGTCCGCCCCATGTTGCCTAACGCTTGCCCGCTCTTTGCTCAACATGAGCTCATAAGCTGTGGGCGAAAAGAAAGGAGTGGAAATGCTTTGATACCGTACCTCAATCGATTTTTCAGATCGCTGCGCTGAATTCCTGTTGCGGTGAGAGGCGTCAAAATGCAAACAATGATCCTTTTCTTCTGACCTGTGAAGGGAACAAACCAATAACTTTGTCAAAATCAGTTTGTGGGGAAAAAAAAATTATCTATTCAGGTCTAAAAAATATATTTGTGATTTGCAGTCATACTGCAATTATTCATGTGGTTTAACGAAGTAGTAGCCCTTCGTCAAGTAGCTCTCATTCTCAAAAAGCTTGGTGAGTCAAACAGCTCACACCCCCGTGCGATATTGCTCGATTGTTATTGATTTGGTTTGGTCAAGAGAGCTTTTTTTTTTTTTTAACACACAAGCTAACTCAATGCGCTTCACAAAATGAAAAGCATATTTACAAACAGACGAACTAAAAATGTGTTTTCAAACAATTAAAAAAAAAAATCAAACAAATAATCAAACAACAATAATCAGTTATTAAAACAATCATCGGGAATAGAATGTTTGCCGTACATCTGACAACAAAGTAAAATGAACAAAAAAAAGCAAAACAAACCGATTGATAAAATAATCGATAGAATCATCGCTTCAAAAAAAATATTCACTGGTGACAGCCGGGCTGAGCATTTGGCATCCAGTGTTAAAGCCCACAGAAATGTTCACAGCAGGCAAAAACAAAATAAAACTCAACAAAACAAAAAAATGAGGGATTACAAACAAAGAATCAAACAACAATAATCAGTTATTAAATCAATCATCGGGAATAGAATGTTTGCCGTACATCTGACAGCAAAGTAAAATGAACAAAAAAAAAAAAGCTAAATAAACCGATTGACAAAATAATCGATAGAATCATCGCTTCAAAAAAAATATTCACTGGTGACAGCCGGGCTGAGCATTTGGCATCCAGTGTTAAAGCCCACAGAAATGTTCACAGCAGGCAAAAACAAAATAAAACTCAACAAAACAAAAAAATGAGGGATTAAAATTGTTTGTTGTTTGCAGGTGTTTGCCGACTTGCTGGACCCCGTCATAAAAGAGAGGCACAACGGCTACGATCCCCAAACCATGAAGCACCCCACCGACCTGGACGCCAGCAAGGTGCCGCTCACCCTCCAACATGAGCTCAACATCACATTCTTATTTCTATGCCCGCTTTTGAGGCCTATCGTGACAACGACCGCCACTTCTGTTTGTGCGAGTGAATCCCAGAGTGTGAGGAAAAAAAAAAGACCCTCCTGAAGATGATGAAAGCATTTTCACTTATTGTGACAGCACTTCATGCACTACAAAGCAGTATGCAGCACACGTGCACGACACCCAAGCTCTGTCCAATAGGGAACGAAGTAAATGGCGTCAAATGGTGGAAGTAGGTTCAGGTGGTCCATCTCGACCGAGAGACCGAGCTTTGCATTTTGAGACGCGGATAGGTTTAGCCTGGGTTGTTAGCGGAGGTTGCGGAGAGTCTTTGCTGCACAAAATGAAATTGTCTGTGAAAGGTATTTATGAAAGTGTTTTGGGCACATCGTTTGTCGTCTATTCACCGATCAGATTTGCAAGCACGTTTCTATTTTCACCCGACTTTCAGCTCCAGTCGGGCCACTTTGACGAGCGCTACGTTCTGTCGTCCCGGGTGAGGACGGGCCGCAGCATCCGGGGGCTGAGCCTGCCGCCCGCCTGCACGCGAGCCGAGCGCAGGGAGGTGGAGCGCGTGGTGGTGGACGCCCTCGCCGGCCTCAAGGGCGATCTGGCCGGGAGGTACTACAGCCTGAGCCAGATGACGGATCAGGAGCAGCAGCAACTCATCGATGTGAGCAACGACCGCAATCGCATCGTTGCATCTTGGAGGCGGTCTTTGGATGCCCGCTGAAATCAATTCGTTGGGTGACCGAGTCAAAGTGTGGATGCTTGGGGCCTTTGTTTCCGTCAGGACCACTTCCTGTTTGACAAGCCGGTGTCCCCTCTGCTGACGTGTGCGGGAATGGCACGCGACTGGCCTGACGCCCGTGGTATTTGGTGAGTTAAAACCAGGTGTCTACCTCGTGGCTAGCCCTAGGCTAGCCCGTGGCTACCTTGGCCTGCTGTATCTCTTTCCCCTTACTACAGTGAAACTCCTCTACAACGAAACCTACATGGGCGAAAATACCCCCTAGTATGAAAAAATGTTCATGCATGAAAGCCATTCCCACTTTTCTGCTCCCCTACGACGAAAAGTCCCCTTGTTCCGTTACACGAAATCTTTTTCTCTGCTCTTGCCTCGCAACGAGATTCACTACAACGAAAACAAGCCTTCCGCAAAAGTCTAATCCAACCTCAGCGTGACACAGCAACCTCTGCTGCTTCGTTCGGAAACGGCAACAGCAACCACCACCCTGGTTTACACATGTGCAGTAGTCTAGGATGTATTTGTTTTTGTTAGTTTCAGACGCAGCACAAACGTTGCATTGCTAAAATGGCTATGAAACGAATATTTTTCTCCTGTGCAGGCACAACAACGACAAGACTTTCCTGATTTGGGTCAACGAGGAGGATCACACCAGGGTTATCTCCATGGAGAAGGGAGGCAACATGAAGCGAGTCTTTGACAGGTTCTGCAGAGGCCTCAAGGAGGTTCGACTCAGTCTGGCTTTGCCTGCAATGTGTGTGTGCGCGTGGGAGAGCGATTGCAATGAGTGTGTCTTGTCTTCGCACGGGCACAAAAACCTCAAAAGGTTTCTCCGCGCAGGTGGAGCATCTGATCCACGAGCGAGGCTGGGAGTTCATGTGGAACGAGAGGCTGGGTTACATCCTCACCTGCCCCTCCAACCTGGGCACTGGACTGCGGGCGGGGGTCCACGTCAAACTGCCCCTGCTGAGCAAGGTAAGCGCTGCGCTTGAGAGGATGCTTGCCGTTGGGGCTTGTCTCATTTTTTTTGCCGGGACCCCCTCCAGGACCCTCGCTTCAGTAAGATCCTGGACAATCTGCGTCTTCAGAAGAGAGGGACGGGCGGCGTGGACACCGCCGCCGTGGGGGGAACCTTTGACATCTCCAACCTGGACCGTCTGGGACAGTCCGAGGTAGAGCGCTCAACTTATGATGGACGGTGACGTCACTATTTGGGCGGTGATGAACGGGCGCCATCTTTAGCTTTCTCCAGCGCTCGTCCGCAGACGATGTTTGGAACTTTGCTGGGTGGCTCACAGACGCCCCCGCGTTGCCACTTGACAGGTCCAGTTGGTGCAGACGGTGGTGGACGGCGTCAACTACCTGGTGGAATGCGAGAAGAGACTGGAGAAAGGCCAGGACATCAAGGTGCCCTCGCCCATCAAGCAGTTCAAGTAGAAGCCCACTCGAGGCCCGCCCCTCCCGACTCACGGCTGACCTCCTGGGACCCCAGACAGACAAGAAATAACAATGTCAGTGTTTCATTTCATTCTCCTTCATAGCCGATATAACCCCAACCGCCTCTGTTATGATATAAGCATCATATTTAATCCTCCTGAGTAGGGTCTCAAAGGGGTGAAAATTTTCCGCGGGGAAGTTAAGTTGGAGGGTTGGAAATATGCGCAAATGTAAGTGTTTGTATTCTTTGTCATTAGAAGACGTTTTGCCTTTTGTCTCTCATACAATCGACGTGACAAGAAAAAGGGTCCACCTCCGAGTCTTTATCTTCTTCTCAAAACCTGTGCAGATCTCTTATTCCAAGTCACACAATGCCGACATCTACAGGGATGGGTTCATCACATTACAAACCTGAATTTTACAAATATCGAATGGGTTGGATTCCAGCTGACAAATATAAACGGCCACTAGAAATGTTTAAATTCTTGGTTTATTCCCAGGGAAATTTTCCAACTTGGAATTTTGCAACCCTACTCCCGACACTCTGGAGCCACAGAAAACACCGCGCTGGGCTTCAGTGGTATTCATTTTAATGTAATAAGTGGAAGCCAAAAAGTCCACCGGCAGCATGCGAAAAGTGAAAGATGGCAGCTGCAAACACTCTCTGACCACTGAATCCGGCGCGGATTTGTTTTGGTTCTGCCGCCGTTGCCCACTGCATGCCACCCCGCGCTGACCCCAACTCATGACATGGTGCTCATGCTACTCATCACTCAAAGTGTATTTGAATGTCAAAAGCCGGTCGCTGTACTGTGAGCCTTTGAAGCGAGATCTTGAGCTGCTCATCGCTGAATGTCACACGCGTGTCTTTTATTAAACAAATCGTCCATTTAGCAGAAAAGACGTCTGCTGCCTTTTGTCTTCCTTCACTATGAGGAGCGAACGACTGAAGGAAACGCCAAGGGAAGGTTCAAGAAGCAATCTGCAATCTGGAGCCTCTTTTACAAGGCCCGGTCATTTGTCACGCTTTTTTGCCATGTCACTCTGCTTCGAAATAGATTTTAGGGTTTGGGTAAGGTTTTAATTTGGGATTTCAAAAAAGGGTCAGCTCAAATGTTTGTCACGTCCTCTTCCTGTTTACATCCAGTAGCTGCCGAGCTCAGAGTAACAAAATACTCTTTTCTTTACAGGAATATTGAAACCATCAAACTCTGCGTCATTTTTCTTGGCTATTGTTTCCACTTGTGTGGCGCACAACATGTTTTTTGTCTGGACGCGGACAACACAGTGCCCAGTGTTTTGTTTTGTCTTGCTTTTTTTTTTTCCGAAGCGATGTGAAGCGTTGGAGGAGCTTAACGACAAGCATGACATCAGCATCTTTCCCCCCCTCCTCGTTCCACATTATGATAGCGGAGACAGCAGGTTGCCATGGCAACCGCTTCTGTGGGGCTCTCATAGGGGCAGGACAGAAACTAGGGACTGTGTGGTGGCAAAGAAGGAAATCACATCCGTAGCACAGAAGAGAATGGAAGTCACATTGTATGGATTTAAATACTGTACGGTGTTGTAAACTTTGTCCCGTTTTGACATTTGGAAGCAATTAAAAAAAAAACTAATTGTCATTATTTCACTCTGAAATGTGATGACATTTCCTAAGTGCTACCGAAAAAAACAACAAAAAAAGATCATATGAAAGAACGCTAAAATTGGACAGCACGTTTCCCGTCCAAAAAAAATGAAAAAGCCGGTCTTCTGATCCTTCCAACTCATCCAGAGAGCGCCCCCTGCTGGATTGTTTTGCACTTTCAAGTCAGTACTGTTGTCATTTCGAAACAGCTTCATATAGGAATCACTGTTACCTCTGCTACAGTTACATTTTGCAAAGAAAATTTGCACAACAGCATGGATTATGAGACATTACTTTTGGAAGGGGAACAGAAAATTTCTTCCAATTAACTATTTTAGGGTTAGTCTTCAAGTGGCGCAATGATCCATCGTCAGGCATTTAAAGCCCCTTGTTTTCCAAATAAAGGGTTAAAAATCCGAATGCAGGTAGAAATGTCGACTATTTAAACAATTTAAATTGCGTGCCTTCAAACTAGGGGAGTGGATAACGGCGTCCGATGGTTCAGCAAAATGCGTCATAAAATTGCGACAAGAGAATCGGGAATACCATTTCTCAGTTAGCAATGAATTACGCTTTTTCAAATATTCTGCCTAGATAACACGTTCTGGCATTGGCAGAAAAGTAAACCTCATACAAATCGATTGAGAATTGAGCAAGTCACCACTAAATTCATCGTAGATGCATTGACTTTGTTGGGAAGTTTGTCCCTCCTAACATGGCCGACAAACCGGCACGTTTGCAACCGCGCTTTTATCTTTGGTTAAAGGTCTTCCACTAAATCAGTGAACTCTCGTCATGATGACTTTGGCTTACGAAGTAGTCGTGCTCCGATTGGCCGCCTCTAGACGAAGCGCCGGTATGCTGCACTCTGATTGGTTCATACGCGATGAGCGAGACATCCACGCGACCAATAGCGGGCTGCCACAGTGTGATAAGGAGCGGCGCAGAGGCCTCTTTTAGTATCTTCCCCGCCTCCTCTGTCTTTTTCTTTCGATCCGCAGCAAACCACAAGCTCAAGAACATCGACGTCTTTCTCCCCCCAGCGCACTCCTTTCGCGGTGTTGTTTGCAAGCCTGTTTCGAGGACTTCTTGAAACGACACCGAGTGCGATGCTGACGCTAATCTTCCTGGCCGTGCTCGCCGGGCTCTCCAGAGCCAGCGACGTGCTCGAATTCACCGACGACGACTTTGACAGCAGCATTGAGCACCTCGAGCTCATCCTCGTTGAATTTTATGCGCCATGGTGAGCCATTGTAACGACGTGGATAATTTTCCCCTAGTGAAAGAGTAGAACTGGTTGTAAGCGAAACGAGTGCGCTAGCTTGTTTTTCGCATGAATGTCTTAACTGGCTCAGCGTCTAGCGTGCGTGGTTCCGAATAATGTGTGGGTTTAAACGCACCTATTAGTTGAAATAATTTTTCACAGTCATGTTACTGGGAAATACGTTATTGTTGTCTTAAAAAATAGGCTCGTGATGAAATGTTAGCATGCTAGCTAACAAGATGTGAAAATATAACTGCGTCGAAACCATGAATCCCATGAGAAGCATTTCGTTTATGATAAACTACAAAAAAAATCCAAGCAGCTTCCTTTTTTGACACGCGAAACGACAGTCAAAGGGAATTTTCACGTCGTTTTCGCACTTTAAAAGCACCGTTTAGTAGCATGCACAAGGAAGTTGGAGGCGTTCCTTCTCGCAGTGTAACGCTCCGATTGGACGGCGAAGTTTGGGTGGCTGCCTCTGATTGGTTGATACAAACTATGACGTATGCCATATAGCGAAACGACATCGACGCTGTGCAAAGTGAAACAAAATGTGCCTTTCCAAAAAAAACGTCGGCAAAGAAGAAAAAAACAACTCGCGAAACTTTTTTTTTAAAATGTGTTTGGCTTTACACAATAAAAAGCATTGCTAAATAATGCATGCAGCTACCAACTCGTTGTTAATACTAATTTCAAGACGAATTTCACATGGACATTTGACTCAGAATCTTTCCGTTGTAAAACAATGCAGTGTGCAGTTTTTTTAAGCAATGTTAGAAATTACATTCATACACAAATGGTCAAATATGACTGTTCAAGACATCAAAGCGAGGTATTGAACGTTGGTACGCAAAAAGGAATAAAAATAACGAGCAAAAAGGAATAAAAATAACGACCAGCCGTTGCTCATCTGTAAGCACTTGAACTTTGAATGAGAGGGTCATGGTTTCGGTCAGACAAATGTAAAAATGGCAACTATTTATCGGAGTCTAGTCTGGTTACTGAGAACCGTCACTGTGCCCTTGAGCAAGGCATGACCCCACCTCACCGAGCACCTCGAAATCTTGATCCGCACTTCTGTATGTTAGTGATCTGGCTTTGCGCAGTGCACAACAGCGTGTGACTTTATTTCTCTCATGTGAATTGTAACGTCCTGTTAAGATTTATAAACATTACCAGCCGAGCAAACACTTTCCTCAGTCTTATTTACCAAGCGGAGAGCAGATTACACATTTTGTTTGTGTTTCTAATGTCTCCTCTGTCCCCTTAAGGTGTGGTCATTGTAAGCGCCTCGCCCCCGAGTACGAGGCAGCGGCCACGCGTCTGAAAGGCATCGTCCCCCTGGCGAAGGTACTCGACGGGACAATTACCAACTTTCAACTTGTATTTGAACTCTCCTTGCCCTCATCCGTTGAACATTGCATTTTTTCCCCTCTTCCAGGTTGACTGCACAGCTCACAGCAAGACTTGCAGCAAATACGGAGTCAACGGCTACCCCACCCTAAAGATCTTCAGGGGTGGAGAAGTCTCTGGACCCTACGATGGCCCCCGATCTGCAGGTACAGTTATACTTTGATTTAACAGTAGGAGTTACGTGAGTCAATGCAGTGGCGTTGAAAGTCGACTAGTTGAAGAGCTGAGATTTTCTTGTTTTTTATTTTTTTAAGTGCAGTAGTGACTTTGAGGGTTGGTGAAAAGGAAGAGAAGCGGTAGTTGATTGACAGCCCCCTTTATTGGGACAAACAGCTACTGTTAACCACAATCAGACAACTTTGCAGTATTTATTTAATTTTGTGGTCTCTTGTAGATGGGATTGTGACTTTCCTGAAGAAGCAAGCTGGCCCCGCCTCTGTGGAGATCACCACTGAAGTGGAATTCGAGAAGTTCATCGCAGATAAAGACGCCAGCATAGTCGGTGAGTCGACACAAGCAATATGATGAGGGAAGAGGGAGGAAACCTCAAAAGTGAATTGAAACACGTGTGCGGTAAAGTTGGATGGCGTGGAAGAGAAAATAAGAGGAGCAGCATTTGCAAGTAGTAGAGCAAAGAGTAAAGCGCAACTTTTCTATCAAAAGCAAATGCATCGAGGACGCGTTAATCAGGCTCAAAATCTGAAGCTGCTGTTGTCAAACCAGATGAGGCAAACTGGAGCGTGTAGCAAGAAGCGTCACTTAATTCGTCTTGCCAAGATGCGCACACACAAAAAAATCCGTAGCTGAGGCCTCGAGTTTGACGCTGTGCTTTGCAGTGGGTCTCAAAACAGTTTACATTAAGTACCACCTCAATAAATACTAAGACCCCCCTCAAAGCTTGCGCCTCTAACCCGATTCTATCGCTTGCATCGCGAGCAGCCCTGAAAATGAAAGTTGGAAGTCATCCCGTTGTTGACGTTTTCCCTCCAGGCTTCTTTGCCGACAAGCAGAGCCCCGCGTACACCGAATTCCAGAATGCCGCCAGCGACCTGAGGGAGAACTACCGCTTCGCCCACACCAGCCTGGAAGCGCTCCTCCAGAGCCAAGGCGTGGACGGAGAGTGAGTGCCACGCCTCCTTTGCAGGTCATCAGAACCAAACAGTCATCTCTTAACAGTACGTTTTTGTTTGCATTTATTTATTTGGAATCTCCAGTGGCGTCATCCTGTTCCGCCCGCCCAGACTCAGCAACAAGTTTGAAGATGCCTCGGTCAAATTCAGCGAGGAGAAATTCACCAAAAACAAGCTCAAGACGTTCATCAAGGACAGTGTGTACGTTTGTGCGGAATAACCTCGAAACTATTATTTTTTTTTTTTCTTCCTGAGCATCCACGTCGGGCGCCGTCGTGCATTACGATGACTGCAAACTGATCGGCTCTCACCTGGTCTCTCCTCCGCTCAGCTTTGGAATCTGCCCACACATGACTGACGACAACAAAGACCAGCTGAGGGGGAAAGACCTGCTGGTGGCCTACTACGACGTGGATTACGACAAAAATCCTAAAGGCTCCAACTACTGGAGGAATAGGTATGGGAAGAT